GGGTCTAATGGTTTAATATTTAATCATTTCTGCCCACAGGTGCAGCTTGTGCTGGGGACAATAAAAGGCCACTTTAACATGTGGATTGTTGGCACACAACACATTGCCACAGATTTTTCAAGTTTTAAGGAACATGCAGTTGGCATTCTGACTGTTGGCACCAGAGTTGTTGCCAGATAATTGAATGTTAATTTCTTTACCATAAGCCTGTGTTTTTGAAAAATTGGCAGTATATCCAACCGACCTCACAACCGCCGACCATGTATAACCATGCCAGCACAGGACCTTCACATCCGGCATCTTCACCTGCGGGATCGTCTGAGACCAGCCACTCGGACAGCTGATGAAACTGTGGGTTTGCACAACTGAAGAATTTCTGCACAAACTGTCAGAAACCATCTCAGGGAAGCTCATCTGCGTGTTTGTCGTGCTCACCAGGGTCTTGACCTGACTGCAGTTTGGCAGCGTAACCGACTTCAGTGGGCAAATGCGCACCTTCGATGGCCACTGGCAAGCTGGAGAAGTGTGCTCTTCACAGATGACTCCAGGTTTCAACTGTACCAGGAAGATTGCATATGGCGTTATGTGGGCAAATGGTTTGTTGATGTCAATGTTGTGAACAGAATGCCCCATGGTGGCGGTAGAGTTATGGTATGGGCAGGCATAAGTTACGGACAATGAACACAATTGCATTTTATCTATGGTAATTTGAATGCACAGAGATACCGTGACGAGATCCTGAGGCCCATTGTAGTGCCATTCATCTGCCGCCATCACCTCATTTTTCTGCATGATAATGGATAGCCCCATGTCACAAGGATCTGTACACAATTCCTGGAAGCTGAAAATGTCCCATTTCTTCCATGGCCTGCACACTCAGCAGACATGTCACCCATTGAGCGTGTTTGGCATGCTCTGGATCGACATGTACGACAGCGTGTTGCATTTCCCGCCAATATCCAGCAACTTCGCACAAGCATTGAAGAGGAGTGGGACAACATTCCACAGGCCACAATCAACAGACTGAACAACTCTATCAGAAGGTGATGTGTCGCACTGTGTGAGGCAAATGGTTTTCACACTAGATACTGACTGGTTTTCTGATCCACGCCACTACCTTTTAAAAAAAAGGAATCTGTGACCAACAGATGCATATCTGTATTCCCAGTCATGTAAAATCCATAGATTATGGCCTAATTAATTTATTTCAATTGACTGATTTCTTTATATGAACTGTAACTCAGTAAAATCTTTTAAATTGCAGCATAATGCGTTAATATTTTTGTTCAGTGTATTTGTCAAACAAACCAATGATTGCAAATTGTTAAAAGTAGTCCTTGTGCATAGAGTTGTATGGTTTGTTTAACTTCGAAATCATCGTTTTTTGTTTGACATACATTTTTAAATGAAAAATCTGAGGGTCAGCATTACTCTGTATCGTGGAATTGCCCTACAGCTCGGCTCAGTCCAGTCCCAAATCGTGCGTTTTCACTTATTTGGCTAAATTATTATCCATAGTTGCCTCTTTTGATACAGCCACAGCAGTCTTATAATGGATTGTTACCTTGAATGCAACATTAAGATGTTAAAACATTTAAACTCCAATTGAACTCTGTGACATTTTCTGACATCTTATTTTCCTCTCTCTCACTCCAGTTGTTCTCAGGTGACACGTCAGTTATTGTAGAGAGAACACATTTGACCAGGTGGAGTCAGGCTTCTACTTCATCGCCCTGGATGACTACACCAATGAGGCAGAGGATGGACCAGCCGGTCACCAACTCATCTTATGCCTTACACAACTCAGCAAATATGTATCGCTCCACCTTCCTAAAAGGCCAGTGCCCTATTATTGTTGACCTTTTACCAATTTTTATGGATTGTGGAAGGATTTTAAGTTGGGACTTCGACTCCATACTAAATCTAATTCCATCTCCTGTATTGTTCTGCCCTCTCTATAGATTATGCTGATGCATCAATGTAAGAACCTGGAGATCTTCACTGGTTCTGAAGTAGGTGACGTGGCCACAAACAGTACCTGGGATACCTTGCAGCACTAACACTGTCTGGAGATACTGACCATCGCGCCTCCTTCTAAAACAACATAGGATTTTGAGAAGGGTGCAAGTAGAGGAAGTGGGGAGTTGAGCAGAGATTAATTAGGACAGAGCTCATGTCATTGTTTTAGGTAGAAACTTATATTGAATGATCCACACACCTACTCATTCAAGGGTTTTTCTTTATTTATACTATTTTCTACATTGAGGAATAATAGTGAAGACTTCAAAACTATGAAATAACACATATGGAATCATGTAGTAACCAAAAAAGTGTTAAACAAATCAAAATATATTTTATATTTGAGATACTTCAAATAGCCACCCTTTGCCTTGATGACAGCTTTGCACACTCTTGGCATTCTCTCAAGCAGCTTCATGAGGTAGTCACCTGGAATGCATTTCAATTAACAGGTCTGCCTTGTTAATTTGTGGAATTTCTTTCCTTCTTAATGCGTTTGAGCCAATCAGTTGTGTTGTGACAAGGTAGGGGTGGTATACAGAAGATAGCCCTATTTGGTAAAAGACTAAGTCCATATTATGGCAAGAACATCTCAAATAAGCAAAGAGAAACAACAGTCCATTATTACTTTAAGACATGAAGATCAGTCAATCCGGAAAATTTCAAGAACTTTTAAAGTTTCTTCAAGTGCAGTTGCAAAAACCATCAAGCGCTATGATGAAACTGGCTCTCATGAGGACCGCCACAGGAAAGGAAAACCCAGAGTTACCTCTGCTGCAGAGGATAAGCTCATTAGAGTTAACTGCACCTCAGATTGCAGCCCAAATAAATGCTTCACAGAGTTCAAGTAACAGACACATCTCAACATCAACATTTCAAAGGAGACTGCGTGAATCAGGCCTTCATGGTCGAATTGCTGCAAAGAAACCACTACTAAAGGACACCAATAAGAAGAAGATAATTGCTTGGGGCAAGAAACACGAGCAATGGACATTAGACCGGTGGACATCTCTCCTTTGGTCTGATCAGTCCAAATTTTGGTTCCAACTGCCTTGTTTTTGTGATACGCAGAGTAGGTGAACGGATGATCTCTGTGTCACGTCTCCTCCCGTTGCTCCCCTCCGGCGCTCTGATTTGCCGGTCTACTGAGCCACCGGTCTGAGCGCAACACCTCGGCAACACCGGAATGGAAACCCAACACACCCTAATGACCTCCAGTGCACCTGCACCTCATCATCTCAACACCACTCCTATTTAGCACTGGACTGTTCCTTATGATGTTGTGTGTGATTGTTTAGCTTCGTGTCATGTATTCTATCTTTGTTATTTCTCTTTGTCATTGTTTAAGTAAACCTTTACCTTGTTAATTCCTGCGTCCTGCCTCTTCGTAAACGTAGTACTCGTCACTCTGCATTTGTAGTTTCCACCGTGAAGTATGGAGGAGGAGGTGTGATGGTGTGGGGGTGCTTTGCTGGTGTCTGTGATTTATTTAGAATTCAAGGCACACTTAACCAACATGGCTACCACAGCATTCTGCAGTGATATGCCATCCCATCTGGTTTGCGCTTAATGGGACCATCATTTGTTTTTCAACAGGTCAATGACCCAACACACCTCCAGGCTGTGTAAGGGCTATTTGACCAAAAAGGAGAGTGATGGAGTGCTGCATCAGATGATCTGGCCTCCACAATCACCCAACCTCAACCCAACTGAGATGGTTTGGGTTGAGTTGGACCGCAGATTGAAGGAAAAGTAGCCAACAAGTGCTCAGTTGTTTTGTCCTCAGTCCTCCTTTGAATGCTGTGTGTACTGATTCAGTTCTAAACAACCATCATCGAGTCCATCCTCACCTCTCCCATCACTGCAACAGATTGTCTGGTCTGCTGAGATCAGGTCATTGACTGCCACCTGCCGTCCATCGAGGTCCTGCACATCTCCAGGACAAGAATGCATGCAGGAAAGATCCTCACCTACCTGTTCTACCACCTCTTCCAAATACTACCCTCTGGCAAACGGTTCAGGTCAATCATGGCCAAAAACTCCCGCCATCTGAACAGTTTCTTTCCCCGTACCATGGCCTTCGCCAACCGGCCAACTGGTCCACGATGACCCTTTCATCCATGGATTTGGCACTCTGCAATATTCATCCACAGACTATGCACCTGGCACTATCATCCCAGAACTGCATGTTGCTCATTGCACTCTGCACATCTATTACATGCATAATTGATCATGTAGCTTATAGTGTTCATAGTGTACATGCTGTATATCTGTTTCTTGTGGCAGCACCATATCACAGAGTCAAATTCCTGTACATGCAAATGTATTTGGCTAATAAAGCTGACTCTGACATGCTTTAAACTGAGTAGCTGGTTTATCATATGTCAGTTTACATTCTATTATTTAGGACTGGTTACAGTGCCTTCGGAAAGTATTCAGACCCCTTGACTTTTT